CCACAGTTTAAAGGGGAAAATGGGAGAAACCTCAGGGAGAGCAACAGAGGAGGGATCCCTCTCCCAGGACGGACAGACGTGCAATAGATGCCGTGTGTAAATTGAAAAGATAATACATTTGCAACATAGGTAGTCCAAATGTTTGGAAATGCATGTGTGTATAATAGGAAGATGAATCCACGAGGATATCCATCCAGGACCTATGATCCAGGACCACAGCCACGACTCAAGATCCAGGGCTCGCGATGCAGGACACAGGACCGCAGGATCATCCATGACTCCGGATCCCGGCGTATATAGATACCAAAAAGAAAGACATTTGGGGAAGCTGGGTTAATCGGAACATGAGAGTACACAGGTATAGACAGAGAGAAGGAAGAAGTAAGATGTCCCCCGACAAACTAAGCCTATATCAGCAAAACTAGGGGCTGAATCTACTTATATTTGCATGGATCGATGCATTACAGCAATACAGGAATTCCCTTAGGTAGTAAATTCAGAACTTTTTCTACAACCAGAATCACTTTTGAATAAAGCAAAGATCTCTGTTTTCTGCCAGCACAGGAACTAGATGTACCCAACTGCTTGAACAAGGCATTCACACCAAGAGTGATTCAGACCAACAACTTGATTAATCATTTAATTGATGATTCCTCTCTCCCGTTTGTGTGTGTGTGTGTGTGTGTGTGTGTGTGTGTGTGTGTGTGTGTGTGTGTGTGTGTGTGTGTGTGTGTGTGTGTGTGTGTGTGTGTGTGTGTGTGTGTGTGTGTGTGTGTGTGTGTGTGTGTGTGTGTGTGTGTGTGTGTGTGTGTGTGCAGTGGCCATGTACAGGGAGCCCTCCCTCCATGACCTGACAGAACTCTCTCGGTCCGGCAGCGGCACACCAACCAAGAGTCGCAGCGCTTCGGCCATACTTAATGGCGGAGGGAAGTCGCCCAGCAACAACGACTTATCCTAGCCCCCCACCCCTCACACACACCCACAGACACGCACGCACACACACAAAGATCTCAGGCCGACATGCCCACACATCAGGCTGGTGTGGGGTAGGAGGAGGCGAGGAGAAAATACGAAGGGGGACAGGAGTGTTATCTTCCACTTAACGGAGCCCACTGTGACTGACTGTGATGTAAATAAATCAAGGACAATCAATCCGTCTGCTGCTCCGGCCTGCAGGGGGACGAGAACCTTCCTTTGAATACCCTTCCCACTGTATCATACCCAGAGAGGACAAGGGAGGGAGTTGGAGCAACGCAAGAGGGATAGAGAGAGTCAGTCAGTCACATACTTAGATAAACAGACTGTTACAGAGAACCAAAGAGTCCAAGTATTAACTAGGTGGTAGAAGGGAAAAGTGGTAAGATAGTTAGAGTGACACAGGAAGTATTTATCTATTCTACCATATGCTATGTTTACACAGAGCTCATGGGGTTAAATCATATTTTTTAAAAGTGACAAACGTATTCCATGTTCACTTGTGAGGACTGATCCTTTGTTTGCATGCAGGCACGCCCGTGCGTGTGCGTGTGTGAGTGGTCGAGCACACGCTGTGCTTGTAGTAGGAGTGTGTGGGCAAGCGAGTGTGTAAGCGTGCATGTGTCTGGGGGGTGGGTGGGTGTAGGGGGGGGGGTGTACCTTTTTAAGATCTGTTGTATATCAGACAAACCTCCTGAGGGCTTTAACAGGTTAAAATAAGGTTGTTATATACAATAATACTGTAAATGCTTCCATGCTTACTTCTTACAAGCAATGCCGTTGTTTATCTTTCTGTTTGTTGTTGTCGTCCCCTTGCTGTTTGTTTGTTTGTTTGTTGTTGCATGGAAGCTTGTGGACCTCTGCTCAGTAGCAGCATGCTGAAGGTCAGTTTTTTTTTCTGGTCTTACGTGTTCCTGACCTAAGGAGAACACTAGTGAGCCAATAGTGTCATACCAGAACACTAGTGAACCAATGGGAGGGTGACGGAACACTACTGGACCAATAGTATTGCACCAGAACATGAATGGACCAATGGTGTAGGACCAGAACCACCTGGACCAATGGGAGCACAGATTAATTTACTATTTTTGTTCCTGCTGTGGACAAACTAGAAATGCACTAAATAAACTATTTCTAAAGAAGTTATTGTCTGATGTTGATTTATTTGTTCACCCATCTGCACTAGTGGGGATGTCATGCTTTAAAAGTATAATGTATCAATGAGATCAACTACATGACTGGATTGAAAAAAAAGAAGAAAAGTGTCAAACACCAAAACTCACTTTTGTATATTTAACTCTACTGGCATATTGTCCATATTTTGTCATTCCGATGGAGGTGAATTGAATGTCATCCTTTTCTGGAAGAAATAGCCTTAGTAATGTTTGACAGTGTCATAGGTTATCCAGAGTAACAGACACTATAATAATAGACACAGGTGCTGCTGTTTTCTCCACCTCCATTGAACAAGGAAGCAGACATTCCAAAGAGGTATTTCAAATCCTGGGGAAATTAGATTGCACTTTGCCTATGTGGTCTATCACAAGTGTTTCCTTTGTTTTACTCTGGTGAACAGACCGACTTCTTTCTCTCGTGTTATTTCAGTAGATCCAAGCAGATTTTCAGAGACTCTAATGTGTCAATGACGAAGTATACTGTATCATAGAAAATCTCCTTACTCACTTTGGTCGTTCAGTGTTGAAGCATGTTCAGACCCACCAAACGACTGTTAATGTAATCACTTCAAACTGAAAACATCAGTGTCTTCAATAATCCTTCAGATACAGCGGTTTTCCGTCATTGCATTCTGTAGGGATATTTTCGACTGGGCCGGTGGTCCAAACTCAAACGATTCCATTAAATCAGAAGCGTCAACAATATTCATTAAAAGGACAGATCTTATTAAACGTGTTTCTGTAAAACAATAATTAAACCCTGATTTGAACCGTATGTTTCACTCTTTCGAAGCAAACATTTTCACCGCGGCTGTCCCGCTTCATTTCTACACGGGGGAGGGGGGGAAGAACCCACCTGTATTAACGCAGGCTTTCCCTGTTACTCTACTCCAGGGGTGGCCAACCAGTCAGAGGTTAAGAGCCACATTTTTTCTATGTTACTGCAAAGAGCCACATCAAACACACAGTCACTGATACCGCTTGTTTCAGTTTTTTGTTTTCTGGAGACAAGATTTCAACCACGTCACTGATGCATTTTTGTGGCATTGGGATATTTTTTTTTTAAATCCTCTGGAGCAGAGAGGAGCTGTGGATTATTGTTATTGATTAATGCATCAGTGTTTCTGTTCAAAAACACTAAACTCACAACTTAAAATGAAAGCGTTTAGTTTATTTAATAAAAGAGCACATGTTCAATGTGAAAAGTGACAGTAGTTATAGATTATTTGCAATTTGGTGCTATATATATATTTAAAAAAAAAAAAGTATATATATATTTTTTTTAAACACCTTGAATTTCAGGGGGGCGCGGGGCTCCGTTGGCGGGGCGCAGCGCCCCTCCAAGACAATGGCAGGGGAAACACTGGATAATGTTTAATCAACGATAGGTTTCCCCCCCTCAAAGGTGATTGGTTCACTGCATCGCAGGTATTATTGTGATTGGCTCTTGGGCCACATCAAAATTATACGCGCTGTCATCCTCTCACACTGACACCACACATACACAACATACATAACACGGGACGAAAGTAACGGAGCGATTTTATCCGAGCCCAAACAACTTTGACCGGCCAAATTAAGTCAGAATTATCAGCATTCAATACTTAACAGACCTACTAAATATCAGGTTTAACTGTCAGGAGTAGCTATAGTGTTGTCACGATACCAACATTTTGGTTTTGATACCAAGTCAAGAATTGCGATTCCGATTATTTTTCGATATTTTCTTAAAAAAAGGGAAACGGTCTTAAATGTAATTATTGTGCTTTATTTCACACCAGAACCATAACCATAACACAAACGTTTAAACAATGAGAACAATAAATAAAATAAATGACAAGAATTCGTATTAAATAAAATTAATAAATGTCTCACAGACCGGCCTTGTGGTGTCCGTAGGATTGCCCTCACTGTCAGAGATATAGCTCAAATACTTCCAAATTTCGCTTCTGACGTCTTTTTTGTCAACAAGCCGAGGCGCAGCGGCAGTTGCACTCCCACTGGCAGCCATGCTTCTCGTTTTCTCACATGCTCTGGCAGCTAGCGCGTGCATGAGAGAGGGGAGGGACTTAGAGCGTGCTTGAGAGGGGCGGGACAGCAGGCACGGCTGCAGTGCAGGGAGTGGAAGCAGAGCACTGAACACACACGGCTCTTATTAAAACGGCGCTTTCTCACCGGAGTACTTTTCCCCGTCATTCTTAAAGTACCGATACTAATGAAACGGAGGAATCGTAACGTTTTTAACGGCAGGGTATCGCGGTACCTTTCAAGTATCGGTACACCGTGCAACACTAGTAAGGAGTCAGTGTCTCTCCCCAAAACTCACACATAAAATTCGATATGAACTGAAGAGCCGCATGAAACTAGGCAAAGAGCCGCATGCGGCTCGAGAGCCGCGGGTTGGCCACCCCTGCTCTACTCAGTAGGCCTACTACATAATTAAATTAGAGTTTAATTAAATAAACGATACTTTAATAATGGGAATTACATATTTATATGAAGCATAGACACTTCTATTATGGCTGTAATGAAACACTTGATATTATGGTGTGTTGTCATTCACAATGCATAAGAGTGAAATAAAGTAACAAACAAAGATCTAAACTAATGGTGGATGATGTGAAGAAGTCCCAACAATATATCCGAAAAAGTAGATTTTAACGTTTCGAGGTATTGTTTCATTGTCAGTACAAAAATGTAAATTATATTAATTGTAAGTGGTATAAATGTATTTCGCCACTAGATGGAACTTATGGCACAAGTTGTGATTGTGTTGTCGGTGTCTTGCAGTGAACTTATATGGGACAAAGCACCAGACAGACACAAAGTAAAAATAAACCCAGCAGACAGTTTCTTGATAAAGTGATCATTTACTCCAACATGTGTGTTTGTTCATATTGCTGTGATGAAATCAGACACAGGCATTTGTCCTTACTATTCTGAAGTTGGGGGCTAATTCTAATTTACAAAACATTTGTGATATCACAACCACATGATAAAGTGCTAAAGGCAAATATGAAAAATACACATACAATGGTTAAAAACCAATAGTTTCACATTGCAGTAATAAACATTTAGTCATTTGTTTCAGGAACAGTGTCATACTCAATATGCTTTCCTAATGGTTTAAATAAAACTGTTCTCTTACTAATAAAGATAACTTAAAGTAATAATTATAATAATTTCTTTAGGTTTGTTTTGTTTCACTTTACATTTACAAGTATCTTACAAAACAGGAATAACATCAGTGGAAGTTTTGCCTGTAACTGAACTCAGTGTCGATGAACTACACTCTCCCTTTGTGATGTGTTTCTATGAAATAATCACATTTTCTCTTTCTGCAGCCCTGTGCAAATGTAAACACACATGCAAACTCACACAAACATGTATCATGTTCATAGGGGTCCACATTAACACTGTACTGGTATGAGTAAAGTCCTATTTACAGTGGTTGAGACAGCTGCCAGTACTACAAATATTCCTCTTTTTCTTGAAAGAGAGAAGGGAAGATTGTGTCAGAGTCTGTCCTCTCCCCTCTTTCTTCTTCTTCTCCGTGCCATTTATCTTCATCCGTTTCTTCTCTTACACATCCTCCTGTCACAACTCGGTTTTTCTCTCCATTAATCCATCTGTCGATTAATGTATGATGAGTCTAGGTCCCCTTCTTTGACTCCCACTCCTGGAAACAATGAGTCAGGAAAATTATCCAAATATTCAAAAGGAAATTTAAAACTTTTTCTTCAAGGGTGAAGAAAAAGTGTCACACACACACACACACACACACACACACACACACACACACCACACACACACACACACACACACACACACACACACACACACACACACACACACACACACACACACACACCACACACACACACACACACACACACACACACACACCAACACACACACACACACACACACACACACACACACCACACACACACACACACACACACACACACACACACACACACACACACACACACACACACACACACACACACACACACACACACACACACACACACACACACACACACACACACACACACACACACACACACACACACACACACACACACACACACACACACACAACCTTTGCTTTCTGCATGACGTTCCCCCTGGACGAGGCGTAAACAGTCGCAGGACGTTTACGAAGCTCAGTTGCTGCGTTGATCGGCACGCTCTCATTGTAAACCTTTTCAACCCTATTGCCCTGGGCCTGTTCACACAAACACATATCACATTTTATTCATTATATGGAAAAGATTCAGATTTTAGGAAATAGAGTTATTTCACTTTCTTGGCCAACAGGTGACTGGCCACAGGTAAAACAAAGTCTATAATATATATAATTATATAATAATATAATTCACTGTAAATACACAACTTGTAGATTTGTAACTTAACTTGTAACTTGTGACTTTTGAGATGCTGGAAAGCTAATTTTGCTGCTGGCTGTAGCTGTAGACATAAGGGTGGTGTCAATATTCTCATCTGGCTCTATTCAAGACTGGGAATAATCTTACACCCCAAAATGTCCAACTTTTCTATACTTTTAGTCATAAAAAAATCACTGATCGGACACATGTCTACAACATAACAGAATTGCAAGAATCTGGCATCCACCAAATAACAGGGTATTTACAAATGATTAAAGAATGGAAATGGGTTTCTCTTCACAGTTTACAGTTTTCTAAACGATTGACACTGGACAGCATCACTGCTGTAAGAGCCGACCTTTGGGGTCATCTTGGGGGTCGTGGGCGGACTCATCGATCCTCTGGCCAGAGACTTCTTCAGGTTTTCTTTCACCTCCGTCAGTTTGAGCTCCAGCTCCACCCTCTCTTCCTCTCTCTGTTTACACAGCGCCTCAAGCTTGGCTAACCGCACAGCTTGACCTACACACACACACACACACACACACACACACACACACACACACACACACACACACACACACACACACACACACACACACACACACACACACACACACACACACACACACACACACACACACACACACACACACACACACACACACACACACACACCACACACACACACACACACACACACACACACACACACACACACACACACACACACACACACACACACACACACACACACACACACACACCACACACACACACACACACACACACACACACACACACACACACACACACACACACACACACACACACACACACACACACACACACACACACACACACACACACACACACACACACACACACACACACACAAAAAAGCTCATTAGTTAGTACTGTTGCCAAGCTGAAGTTCTAACAGGCCGCATGTGTGATTGGTCTCTGACCTGTAACACTCTTCATCTCCTCCTTCATCTCCTTCTTCTCCCTGCGGAGGGCCACCAGCTCATTTCTGAGCTCTTCCTTTTGCTTCTCCAGCTCTTCTTTCTGAGTCAGGTAGCGCCTGGCGTCCTCCTCTGCACGCGTCTTCCCGTACCGCGCATAGTGGTTTACATCTAACAGAACACATGGCAGGATATTACAGAGCATGCTGGTGCTGATACACCATAACAAAACATGTTATTAAGCTGGTTAACTATTCATTTTTCACCACTATCATGTTTAGGAGAAGCAGATGTAACATTTTCTGTAATATTAAACAAAAGGAGACTCACTGGAAGCGTGCCTCTTTACGGCGGCCTGTTGTTCAGTTTTATCAGAGTCCCTGCTGGAGAATGAGGCATGGCGTCTCACGTTTACAATCCTGCTATCAACATCTTCCTGCTGTAGGACAAACACAAATAGATTTTTTAAATTATATTTCCAGAACCTTTTATGTGTTTTTTAAACAATAACTGCACAGCAAATGCCATACATGAAGATGTGTGTGTAATTTTCTCATGTTTTATTGGAAACTGAAGCTGAGAGGCAGATTAAGCTTCTCCATGTTTAATGATATTGGTTTTTATCATTCTTTCACATCATTTCTCCTCACCGCAACGCTTTCATAGACATCATCATATGTTCTGGAGTCCGTGGAAGCACTGCTGGAGGAAGTAGCTGTGGCCCACCTGGGAGGAAAAAACAGATAGACACAGATGTTGTTCAGCATTAAAGGTCACCTATTGTGCAAAATCCACTTTTTCATGTCTGTTATACATAAACATGTGTCCCCTCTGTGCAAAGAGATTCTGAAAGTTTCAGGAAAAAAGATTCTCTCACTTTTTGTCCCGATTCATTTTATATAAAAACCTGTCTGAAAATGAGCCGATACATTTTTTTTGGGAGAAAAAAGTCAGAATTCTGACTTTACTTTCAGAATTCTGAAATCTAACTTTAAAGTCAGAATTATTTTTCTCCCAAAACAAAATTATGTTTTTTTTCAAATCCTCCGGAATTTTTTTTTAATGTGGCCCTAATCCTCTTCCGTAGATTTTGGCCACTTTATGATGTCACAACGATTTTTTGGCTTGTGTAACAATTAGCCAATAACCAACCAAGGTAACCCCCCCCCCCCCCGTTATCACCTGAATCTCCTCTAGAGCACCATTATGTTCTTTTTAACCAAATATCTCTCAGAGGGGCGTGGGGAGGGGCTCCTTATTTTCAGCTAAAGTAACAGACAGAGAATCAGCACTTTTGAAACAGGGCTGAAACAGAGGGGATTATGGGATGCTGCAATGGGTGCTCTGTTTGGTATTTCCGCCAAACACTTCAGAGACATGTTTTGTATATATCTGAGACCTGTAATATATTGATGAAAAACAGTATAATACCTTTAAAGCCCACGATAAGAGTCAGACAACTGAAGAGGAATATGTGTGCAAACATTGTAAACGTATTCTGTAGGAAGTGACTCACAAGAAGGAGTTTCTAGCCGCGTGCCGGATGTCGGTGAGTGTGTCCACGTCGATGTAGTCATAGTGCAGCTCCTCAGGGAGAGTGGTGCTGCCGGTCTCTGCAAACAACACACCCAGCCAGCGGCCCAGGTCCTCTGAGCAGCTGGTCTGATGGACACACACACACACAAAGATACTCAGTTTTCCTATGTGTGTCTCCCTGCACAGGTTCACTTTCTGCCTCATCTGTGTCCCTAATGATATGAATAGAAAACCCATCCATCTAGATTCTAGTACCTCCATGGATGCTAGTTCGATGCCCGCTTGCAGGATGCAGAAGGAGAAGGGATGTTTGGGGCCGAGGCTTCCTGTCAGCACCTCTGCACCTTTGAGCGGCACCACGATGACCGCGGGCCGCTGGTCCCCGGGGTCTTTCTGCAGGTACAGGTTCCCTCCTCGGACAACACACCAAAGCTCCTTCCAAGAGCCGCTCAGACACACACTGAGGAAGCCTGCAGAGAGAGAGGAGAGGGGGGGATGTGACATTAACAAAAAGATGGCACGCATGTTAAGTGGCTTCATCTTTCCAAATTATTAATATGATGTGTTTTGTTACTTGTCTGTGTTTGTCCTATAAACCTTTTTTTCAGGATTTTAACTTGGCCCACTCCTGAGGGCGCATTGCATCTCATTAAGAATACATAAAGGTCAAACAAATGTATTTGAGTTCTTCAAAAGAAAACAGTAAGGAAATATGAAATCATTTTTACAGCGTTTTCAAGTGTTTTGCGTGCCTATCTCAGATTTGTTATTATCTGAATCCATTCGTTTTGAACCAAACTGACGTAAAACTACACATACTTACGCAATTTATATAATAATAAACAGTCCTTTAAATAAGCAATTCACAAACTAGCCAAAAATGAAATCAACCAAACAGCCTCTTGATCAGTTTGTGTCCTCACCAGAGCGTGGGTTGTCATGGTGAACAATAAATGACGGTGGATCTCCCGGTAAAGGAGGTTTCTTTTTGGAGAAAGTGATGATCCGATTGATTTTCTTCCCTGCTGCCCGGCTCATGGACCCCGTCAGCTCTGAGAACGGACCGCGCTTCCCCCTGTCTGAAATCAAACACACCCTGGTCAGATTGTGCTGGAGCTGACAATGTGGACATAGAGGCGAGGAGCGCTTGATATATCAGAACAAGAAATACATTTATTATCCTGGAGGAAATTAGGTTTATTCGTTGAGAAAATATTGATAGACACACACAAATACAGCATCATGGAGGGGTATCTTAGAATGTTTCCTCACTCGTATACTATATGTCTGTGTTATCGTCACATAAGCAGTGCCAATAAAACGGTCTAATACAAATAATACACAAAAGTTACATTAAAACACTCAAATGGAATGAACTAAGGGACAAGTCCTCACTCATTGTGGTATTCCACAATAACACATTGTATTCAGAGAAGTATTTTATGTATTGTGTTTGCGGGGTCATACCGCGTGTACCAGGTGTTGCAGCGCCGTGTCCGCCCCATATCCTGTGATGTCACTGGGAGACAATCACAGGAAAAGTACAGGAAGGATATCATATCTGTTTGCGCCTCACTTCCTGTTTCTCCCTCTCTCTCATGTCTCTTTAGGTTCAGAGCCGCTCAAACAGTAAACATGTTGTAACAACACTGAAACAACAGGACTGTGTTTGACCCATATACTGACCCAACATCACGGATGCCCTGCTTTACGCTTCCTGATCTTGTGGATGTATGAACAAAAATAGTGCATGTTCTTTAGATCAGTATCTTAAAAGGATGTGTGTGTGTGTGTTTGAGTGTGTGCCTTCGTTGAGTGTGGAGTTGAGGTCAAGACTGTGAAAGTAACGACATTTTCGGAAAGCGAGGCCTTCACTTCCTCCAATAAAATGTAAGGATCCAGGCGTTGTTTAATGTATAGGTTAGAATATGGTGCAACCAATTCTATTAATAGCGCTTTTCCTACAGTAAAAGTCTGCCTCAAGACGTCATAGGAAAAATCATTAAATATGTATTACTGTTAAAGTTATTTTTGGAAAATCATAAAACACAACCATTTCCTCCAGAGGGAGTTTTTCTCCAACACTCCCCCCATTCCTCAAATGATTCCTTGATTATAGTCCTTTGTTTACTTCTGCGACATAGTGACTTCACTACCTGACACTTGCGCTTCTATTGGCTAGCGTTCCGACACATTGTAAGTGATTGGCTAAGGGGCGGGACATCTCTAATCAGTTGACCAATCATAACAGAGGGGCCCATTCCATTTTATTGAGCTTGTTTTACTAAAGCGACATTTAAAAAAAAGAGCAGATAGTTACAATAATTGCTGGCATATTATAAAGGTTAACCTACTGAGTGAATCGATGCTGTCCCGCCCTGCTCCATGTGCAGTGAGCTGCTGTTCTGCTATTGGCCCGCTGTCTGAGTCTGACGCCTGCCGCTCACACTGTAGCACCTGCAGAGAAAGTATAATTAATAATGATGTATTCTTGTTAAAGAAGAAGACAGGACTGTTACTTATTAACAGATATATCTAACCTATTTGAACAAACCCTTCTGTCCTTTAGCTGATCATGTAGTGTCAACAAAAAGGACACAGAGTATCATTGAAAAAGGTTGTATTTACTTTGGAAAACTATCCTGCCAACATGGGGTGTAACTGCCATGTCACCATGCTTTTAGCCCATTGGCTCTCTCTCTGTGCTGCCTGCCAAAACTTTGTTGAGGGTTTGAAGCTCTTTGAAAAGTGGCCAGCTCAGCAACCGCAATAATGTCACCTCACTTACTATAACTGGGAGGCAAAGGAACAGTTGTGTCATGCGTGGGCTGAAGGGGTGATCTCAGCAATATTGAAATGTAAAAAAACTAGAGTGTATATTCAGAATGAAACAGTAAATGAAGAAAAAGATAGTACAGTAGAGTTAAACTCAGACATTGTGAGAGGCAACTGTTAGGCAGACACATCTGGGGAAAACATTTGTGTCTGGTTTATCTTGTGACATACACAGGAAAACAGAAAGGAAATACTGAAGAGAAACAAAGACACAAGCACACACACACCTTGTCGATCTCCAACTTCCTTTGTATAATAGGAGAAGTGGATCCATCCAGTGCTTCAGTGTTGCTACATTGGCTCCCCACATCTTGCACCACCTTGTTTTAGAAAGAAAGAAAATCTTCACATTAAAAACCTTTTGTTCCCCCCTCAGCCCCCCCCCCCCCCGTGTCTCAGCCCTGTGATGTAAAGCACCTTGAGCCACCTCTGGGCCTGCTCTTTACTCTGAACAGCCAGAACTAGAGCTTCGCCTCCGGGCAGCGAGAAGCGCAGCTCGTGTCTCTTCTTCCGGCCTTCCTTCGGGACGTAGATGACGTTGCACAGATTCAGCGGGAGCTCTGTGTGGGGGGTGCTCTCTTTGATGCTCTTAAAACACTGTCAAAGAGACAAAGGCAAGGCAAGTTTATTTATATAGCTGCTTTCAACACAAGGCAATTCAAAGTGGTTTACAAAAATGAAAGACATTAAGAAAATGGCATTTAAAAACAGTCATTAAAAAGCAAAGATAAGAAAACAAACATTAAAAGACGAAATATATGAATAAAAGTTACAGTGCAGTGTAAGATATGACTAGTTCAATGAAAATAGTGAGACAACACAAGTCACCAAAAATGACTAAGATGTTTCCTTGGATGCTATTTGACTTTGATACGGAAATGGAACGTTTGAAAACCAGACCAGAAAACAAAAGCATTTCCTTTCCTTTTTTGCACTTATTGTAAGTCGCTTTGGATAAAAGCGTCAGCTAAATGATATGTAATGTAATGCGAGTCTTTCTAACTATGCATAATATGGTTTTATATTCCTATTGTTAACACTCTTTCATCACTTTTTCAAAACACATCTATGGATGCCTGGGTAATATCTCTCCAGTTTGGTCACATGCCATTATATTATAAATACTTAATGTATAAATATAATGTTATGTTTGAGCCTGAAGTTTTTAATGATTTGTAATAGTTTCTTTTATTTTGCATATTGACGGGCTAATGTGCCATTTTATTTGTGAGTGCCACAGTGAGGCGTCCTAAAACCCGGAAGTAAACTCCTTCCGGTTCCTTTGACAAAAAACAATGCAATTTCTATCGATCATAAATCTATCGATTAGATTTATGATTCGAATATTATAAAAGTAGGGTAGACATGTGGAGATTATCCGGCTGAACAAAACGTGATCCGTCTCTTCAATTTGTGTCAACCACAGACCTTATTTCGAGCTATTTTCCAAAATCCTATGGAGAAATCGCATTGTTTTTTGTCAAAGGAACCGGAAGTGGTAAAATGCTAACTTACTTCCGGGTTTTAGGACGCGTCACTGTGGCACTCTGTGTTTGTCTGTGTTTTGTCTGTTGTAACTTTGTTCATGCTGCCCTTCTTGGCCAGGTCACTCTTGTAAAAGAGATTTTAATCTCAATGAGTTCTTTTACCTGGTTAACTAAAGGATATATATATGAAGAAGATCAACGATAGGATAGAACAATGTACAGGTTATTTGTCACGATGTCTACTCTCAATACACACTGATTAACACCTGATATACATTACATCCTTTAGTTTGAAAATGGAAATAAACAGCCATAAAGATCTCTATTAACCTGCAGTTTATTGTCTCGCACAACGATCAGCTGTTTGGTCCACTGGCCGAAGCGTTTCTTCCGCAGTAGGAAGGCACAGATGCGGCAGTCTCTGACGGGTCCTTCTGTGCTCTCCTCAGCCGTCCATCTCTGAGCTTGTTCCCGCCCTTTGGCCTCGTCTTCGTCTTCTTCGTAAGACTCGTAGGAGCTGCTCAGAGCATCGGAGTCATTGTCTGAGCATCAAAAAATAACATAAAAGATTCATTTTTAGAACAATGTCTGGTTCTCTTAATACTAGATTATCAAAACATGCCGACGTTTTCATTTGTGAATTGGAATTGTAAGTGCAAGAGAGAAAAAACATACAGGAGTTTTTGGGCGGTCCGTTAATCCTGGTGATGGGGTAGTTATTGTCTGCATCTTCATAGTAGGCATCCTCCACAGAGTGTATAGAGGCTGCAGGAGAACAGTAGAAATTGTGAGTTTAGATAAAAGGAACCTTTTAATAATTCTGTTGGTTATATTTAATCATAAGTGAGCAGATCTGTGTCAGGAGATTGTTTACTGAACTGTTGACGCTGTTGGTAATGTACTGAGGCGTGGTTCCAGGATTTAGAGGGACTGCCTCTTCATAGTAGTCATCAGGAAGGGGTGTGATTGGCACTGGAGGAGGCGTGTCAGTCGGTGTCTGAGGTGAAAGATAACCAAAGTTAAAGTAACAGAGACAAATAAAAAACAACCATTGTGTTAACAAAGTGTGAGGTTGTTTATAGGCTACATAATTATGAAACACAGGTTTGCTGAGTCGCTTTAATTGTTGATGTATCCTTGAGCAAGATACTAAACCCTGAATTGCTCCCTATGGCATGGCTAACAGTGTGAGTGTGTATGAATGCTAGCTTCCCTGAGCAATATCTGTATGAAGGAGGTGTGAATGGGTGAAAGATGAGCAGTGAATGTAAAGCAGTTTGAGGGGTCGTTCAAACTGGATAAAGCACTAAATAAATACAGTCTATTTACCATAAAGGATGGAGTGTTCCCTATGCTTAAGGCGCTAAGAAAGGGAACATTGAAGCACCTTTCCTAAGCATATAGAGAACTCGAACCAGCTTTTAATACTTCAAGGTCATTTTTACTCAGTTGTAAAGCTAGAAAAAAAACTATTTGACAGAAGCCTTGGCTTGACTGATTGATATAATACAATTATATTGCCCGACTTTACTGTGAATGACTTACAGATTTATCAGGGTCTATCAGAGGCTTCTCCTCTTCTTCTTTCTGCTCTTTCAGCTCTTTCTGCTCCACTGGAGAGGCACTGAGCATGTGCAAATCACAGTCTGTAATTATAAACACATATAGTAAATACATATAGGAATATAGTGGATATAATACAATATAGAGTCATAATACATGTTAAAATATTATACACTTTGATGATTTGAAGTCACATTTCTTCTCACCAAAACCATCAAACAGAGACTCCACAAAGCTGGTGCCGTTGCCATAGAGACAGCTGTTCATGTAGACGTCTGATCCGTTGACTGTGGGAAACATAAATGAGTGTTTAGAAATAGGATCAAAGTTAGGGTGAGGATTGTGGTGGCCGCTCGGGTCATGAGAGGCAGGATTAGCACAGTGTACAGAGACAGAAGAAAAAGGCAACAGAGTGCACGGCGAGGATAAATACTGAGAAATCTGCATGTTTGCACATATTACTTCAGACAACAAGAGAGGCAGGTTGGAGCTTGTAAGTATTTTTGCTAGATAACTGAAGAATATTTGTGGAAAAGTTTGCAATAACACGCTGATTTCCTGGGAGTGTTATTGAATCAGCGTAAGAAATGAATCCCCAAAGTTGTAAAAAGCTGAATTTAAGTGGAATATGCCAACATGTGTAAACACCTGAAGAGTGACTGTGAGGACTTGTGCAATACCTACCAGGATGTTTTGCATTTCTCCTCACCCTGACCTCCTCTCATTATCCTCTCTTTATCCTCTTACCTTAATCCTTTCATCCTCTCGGACATCCTACTGTACGTCTCATAGATAAACAAGGATCTACTGTAAACACCGCAGGAAGATTCAAGGTCCGTGTGCATGCTTTTCTAAATGCAATACAATTACTGTTCTGTGTCTTATGCAGTGTTGTGGATTTGCAGTATTGCTGGTGCAAGCAGGAGGGCTGTCCCGTTGCAAAAAGATGAGTAAGATAGGAAATGCTCCGCCTCTGTCATCATAAACCCTGTTGTAGTGAGTGTCCTTGAACAAAGTGCTAAGCTGAGAAATGCTTTGGCTGTTAGAGTCAGTCTGGGTTCATGTGAGGCAGGGTAAAAGAGAAAGCACCCGAATTCTTCTTCTAAAATGACATTATGTAGCTTTGAAGTGTCAAACCTACAGCAGCTTGAAAGTAAGTTATGCTCCTAACTTACTGATGTGAGAAGATTCAATTCAGGCCCATGGAAACAACAATAAAACAAATATTTAGGAAAAACAGTTATTTCATGCTTTGTGTTCAACAAAATTAACCATATAAACACATATGTGAGAGTTGCTGTTTGTCATGCCAAATGTTTACTTGGGAGCCAATGAATAAAGTTTAAAGTGGATTGTCACTTACAAGGTGACAACCGGGCGGATTTAGGCTATATTAAGGACGGCTTTAGCAATGTTTGTGAGTGTGATAGGATCGCATCACAAGGAATCTAATACTGGAGGAATACATATGATAATAAACAGATAAAGAGGGAAGAAAATAGTCTTCATACTCACCAATACTCGTGTTTGAGCCTACTCACACACACTGTATCAAGTAATAAGAGAGATATACTTTGTCTTTGACGTTTTCCCAAACACACTCCACTAATAGCCTCATAAACAGTATTAGCAATGTTCTCTTAATAAAGAGTTTTAAATTACTTTGATTGTATTGAACAGGCCTGAATGTGGTGTACTTCATAAGAAACATATGTTGCATTTCAAATTGATTGAAATTGTGTATTCAGAAGCTTATATACTTGTTTTTCAATAACCAGGGAGAACTGATAAGAGTTCCTCACTCAAATCGTTTTTCTGGTGCTTAGAACAGGATGGGTTGTATTTTTGTTCAGAAGGTGACATCCTAAAACCGCCTATGGTAAGAAATTAAGATCAGAGATGTCACATAAACCTTTCCCCGTGCATCAGCGACTTATTTTATACCTGGTAGCGGCATGGATTCCATGATGTTGCGTACGGAGGCCATTTTTTCGGCAGTGGCAGGACTGACCGTCTCGTGGTCCAGCATCTTCAACAGAGAGCCCAGCTCGCTCACTAGTCGCTCCATCACCACTAAAACACACAAAAGAACACCATTATATTATGTTAGCAGAGGGGGGGGGGGGTGCAGTGGGTTGTGCGTTGGTGTTGGGATCAGGGGCTCACAGGTTCAAACCCCACTGCAGTCAGCATGTCGTTGTGTCCCTGGGCAAGACACTTCACCCCAAAGTGCTCCTGTGGGGATTGTCCACAGTATTGAGTATGTAAGTCGCTTTGGATAAAAGCGACTAACAAGTGACATGTAATGTAATGAGTCGAGCACCACCATATAAAGCCCACTGCACACTCTTAACATGGCTACAATTCTTAAGCTATGACCGCAAGTGCATCAAATGTCACTTTTACACACGCATGCAAGGCCAAACAGGCAAGTGTGAGCTGGTGGTGAGGGGGTGGGGGTCTCGGCTCACTGCCTGTCCCAACAGCTGAGGATACAGTTGACATCCTAAAACATCGCCCTATTCATTTTGTCTTCCTCAGTCTTTCCCAGTACTAGTAAGTCTGCTCCCTTGTCCTTGCACCACCATAGATTTAAATCATACATTTTGGACATTTCAATCTTTTCTCTTGACAAATAATCGATTTATGTTCAACGCTGACATCCTGTGTGTCAGTGTGTGTGATTTAACCTTGACATTGTTCTAAAAGACCTACACTCTTAGTTACACATCCTGCCTGCTAAGAGAGGAGCCAGAGAGAAAAAGGAGGTGAGGAGGAGGGGGCTGAAAGCTTCCTTCCCTTAAGGAAACGGAGCCAAAGTAAAGAGGAAAATCTGTAGTTCAACTAGAGATTAAAAAAAAGGGGGAAAAACCGTAGTACTGAGGCTAACACACAGACGTGTGACACTAATGACATGCACACAGCTCTAGTGCTTCACCACGGTAATGAACTGACCTTTAACTTCATATTGGACATGGGCTACTTTCATATGATAAAGCATTTTAATGGCTAGTGAACAGATAGAGTGGATCCTTCTGACGTTAAGAACTGCTAACCCTAGAATTATTTCATTTCACTTTGGGTTTCGGTGGAAAGTTATATGTCCCACCATGGCCCACATGCTCTTTAAGTGGCTTCTTCCACACTGCCAAGGAAAATGTTTTAGGGAAACATTAAATATTTGTCATTTTTGGCATTCAAATTGTAAAAATATACAATGCTGTTTCACTGAAAGAACAAATAAGGCTAACAGGGCTTTCAGGGACGCTGGAACCTCAGCATGGGAGGTACCATTGAAAACTGTTTTCCATAATGTCCAATAAAAAAAAGTAATGTACATCCTTTTTTAAGTCTTTTGGACTTGTATTCTTCTGACAGTCTGAATAAACTCTGAAAGCACAATATGAAGTGATATATAAGATCATTTTTGATTGTTTTCTAAAATGCCTGACTTCCTCACTTTTGACGAATCAGATGTTTGAACATACTGATAAATGTGCAATCCATTGGAAAAGAAAAGTGTTACATGGTTAAGTTAAAAATAAGATCCAAACTCTCTTTCTTTAACCGCAGTGAGGACAGAGAGAGTGAGACAAAAGGCCTCACAGCCTCTTCCACCGCACCCCCCCCCCCAGTCTGACAATACTCTATTGTCTCCACAGGAGTCAAAATTAGACGACCACAATGCTCCGCCAGACCAAAGCCAACAATACACTGACAGAAAGTCCAACAAAAAACAAAACAGGAACTAACACAAACAGTCCAAGAGGGGCGTGGTGCAACACAGCTGCATCGCCTCGATACATGGGCATTCGGGGTTAAAGGATAAATCTCTAGCAGCTGTGTGTGAGTGTGTGTGTGTGTGTGTGTGCGGGTGTGTGTGTGTAGTATTTCTCGACCAGCAGCTGTGGTTTCCTGTCTTAGCTTGTCGACAGAAGTGTCTTTCCACTCCTTCCTGATCTTGACTCTCTCCTCCATCCCACTGCATGTCTCCCCTCCTCTCTCTCTCCCCCCCCCTTCCTTTTCCATTTCTCTCCATCCCGCTGTTTCTCATTCTGTCCCGACGACGTCCTCTGCTGTTTTTAAAACTCCATCTCGGTTCCCCTTTTGCTTTTTTGTCACCACCCTCAGTTTGTTTTGTTATCTATTGAATAAGCAGTTGAAGAAGACGTTTCTCTATTGATCTATTGTACCTTCCTTATCTCGGAAATGTTGCACCACAGGCTGGAAAAACACCAGATTCGATGTAATCAATCTCAGAGTAAACAAAGCCAGCAGTGGGCCCATGCCTTTGGTCTGTTTTCTGTTTCCTGATGTCTAACTTTACAATCAAGGCAGTGCATTCAATTCTCTCTCCCTCTTTCTCCCTCTCCCTCTTGGGGGACCGGAGGGTTCAGAGCCTGAGAATCAGCTGTTCTGGAGGCTTGTGGTCGCTCTCACCCACAGAGGGAGCTTTGTAACCCCACCATTCCACACACACACGCTCAAACACACACACAGCACAGATATCCTCTTCAAATTCGCTACTGGCACACACACACACACACACACACACACACACACACACACACACACACACACACACACACACACACACACACACACACACACACACACACACACACACACACACACACACACACACACACACACACACACACACACACACACACACACACACACACACACACACACACACACACACACACACACACACACACACACACACACACACACACACACACACACACACACACACACACACACACACACACACACACACACACACACACACACACACACACACACACACACACACACACACACACACACACACACACACACACACACACACACACACACACACACACACACACACACACACACACACACACACACACACACACACACACACACACACACACACACACACACACACACACACAGTCACAAGAGTACCTTGGAAAAAGTGTTTGACCCACATTTTTGTGTGCGTCCGCAAACACCCTCCTGAGGAAGGTCAGTCATGAGACCTGAGCCATGCGACTCTCATTTGAACCGATTTAGCGCGTTTGGATGCAGCCGAAAAAACAAAACAACTACTATTACTGACTGCTGCTGCTGATTATCTCACCACATAATGCTAACGTGCCGCAGGGTGACAGAGAGAATATACTTTTATCCTCCTAACCTGGGTCTTTGACTCCCAGACATTACACCGATCCAAGGCTAACCTCCTCCCTGCCGCTCCCATCCCTCCTTTTTTTTCTTCCCCTTCAGAATAAGTTAGATATATCTGATTGAACTGATATGAAACGTTGTCTTCGTGAATCTTTCTGCCTGAGGCAACATGAATCATGGATTATTCATGGCTTATCTGAAACAGGAACATTTAGGTTTTACTTATGTGACACAAACATACATTTTCATGCCTTTTTAAAGAATTTCAAGCCTCTAAAGTACATAAAGCTGCTGTTTTGCACAACAGCAGGCGCCTTCTTCCGCCTCCCCCACACTCCCAGAGGTTGAGGTCCCCCCAGATCCCACATTCTCTCCTCCACTCCTTTCTTCACTCCCCCACTCCTCCCTTTCAACTTCGTCCCTCGTCTGCCTCCCTCCATCCCTTCTCCAGACACCCATCCTCTTCAGACAGAGGTCAGAGTTCAAGTCTTGGCAACCCCAGCAGCTCCCTCTCAGACAAAAGTCTACTTCAGACGTTCAGCATCCTGTAAGACATATTTTCGTGACAACAGAAGATGTTGTCAATGTTCGCCCTGGGTGAGCATTCAGTCTTACACTTTAAGAAGTCCCCTCCATACTGACAAGATCGTTAAAAAGAAACAGCTGGGGGAAAAGAGACGTCGACTTCTCTCTTTTTCACATTCTTTCAGTATCTTATCTGTTCCATCAGATAGTAAAGGGTGAGGAGACACAGGAAACAGAGGAGCAGACACTGTGGCACAGCATGAGTCTAATTTAAAACCCAGACTGTTGTGCTGTGGCTTTACCAGGTATGGAGCCATTCAGCCACTACACTGACCAGGGGGAAGCCACATGTCTTGGTTAAGGCTGGACCACACGAAAATATGTTTCAAATCGGAACAGATGTTGAAAAAGAGAACCCAAACATAAAGATCTATACTAATTCAATATTGTTTTCAGATTTCCCTGGATGCCCCACACATAATAGGATACATGGTTGTGCATATTGAACTTGTTTGATTTTTGTGATTTGAAACGGGTGCGGCTACGATTGATCTGAGCAGATAAGGGGTGTAAACAACGCTCTTAATAAACCTCACACCACAGAGAAATCTGACAAACAAGCTCCATAACCATCAAAGGTCTCAAGCTAAATTAAGATATTTTGGTAAACATGTTTTTTGCAGTGAGTATGATGAAGCAAATAGATTAAAAAGAGGCAAGGGTGGCTCTGTGCAAGAAGATAACAAAATAGGTCAACCAGTGAAACTCGTCAACCAGTAAAACTCGTGAATTAACATGTGGAGAATGCCAAATACTGGGAATCAGCGTGGCTGATGTTGTGCTAAGTTAACTAGCTTGTGGCAGTAGTGTCCTGCTTTGCTTTCATAGTGGTATCTAAGTTAATGTGAGAAAGCAAAAGGTCAAAATAAGAAACACTTTGTGAAGTGTTTGCTTTCTGGCCAAAAAGTTAGATTTAAATAAACAAAAAGAAACCCATTTTTGACATTGTTTCCCAGGTGTGAGGTGGTGGTGATGATAACATGACCGTCAGCTGGACAATGATCCAGTGTTCTTCCTGTTTGTAGTGTTATCACCACATCGGCCTATTTTCCACCAACACCAACATGTATATAGACCTGCTGCCTCAGATATCTCAGTCACAGAAAGTCAAACTGCAGAAGGTTTGCACTACAGCTCACTCTGGATTTACAGAGTTAAGAAGTCATTTTCCTATAATATGATTTGAAATGGAATCAAGGAAGAGCTCTGGACTTTCTGACTCTGAAAGATAGTGGACGGAGGGAAGGGAGTGAGTGAGGATAACCGGGTGAGGAGGGGGAGGAAAGGGAAAAGGAAATGTAAGGGAACCATTATCGAGGTCAAGGCTTGTGACAGTCGTTACACACAGAACTTTTTACAACTTCTGATCATTTATCCTATTTGCTGTAGCAGTTGCTATACTGGCTCCGAACTCCATTATCAATGTATTTCCAAAGAGTGTTGTTTTTGTGAGGGCATATATGCACAAGTGTTTGGCCACAACACACTGCAGAAATGGTGTACTGTATTCCCAAGTGTTTCAAAGGCCTTCATAATGGCATTTTGACATGTCACAGTACGAAAAAAAACAGGTGTAAGGTATATTCTGTATTTAACAATGTCTGATTAATGATGGTGTCAGGGTCCGCTCACACTGTCATGAATTATTGAGAAACTTAAGTAAAACAGCCATTGTGAGGTTATTAGCAACACATGTATCTTATGACTCTGATGTGATGAGAATAATGCTGAAATGCTGCACCCATAGATAACATGATCTGCATTATCATCATCACATGATAATCACAAACATGAAGAGACCTTCCCTTCTTTAATTAAAATCGTTTGGAGGCTTTGATTTAATTTTGTATCTGAAATAAGCATGAACCTCCCTTTACCTCAATGTATACTTATATTAAAAGGGAACTTAAATGATTTCTGGGTGAATTAATAATATGCCTGAATAATTGGCCTATTACCTGTTGGCAACTTAAAAAGGAGTTTTACTGAAGCATGAAAAAGTGTTTTTATGATGGTAATTGTTCTCCGCTAGATAACCCTTGTCAGCTCAGACCCAGCTCCATCACCTGGTGACATGAAGCAGCTTCCTGTTGGCAGCTATGTCGCCTGGAGGAGTTTAAACAGAGGAGCCATTCAGCTGCTTCACTTCCAGCAGCGCACTTCTCTGTTGGTATCAGATTGCATCACACTACCTGAGAGAGGAAACCTCCTCCATCCTCACACAGCGCACCACCCGGTGTATCACTCTCCCGGTACAAGCAACCGGGAGCATGGTTGACGTCATTATTATATACAGAATATATGGTCATCCCCCTACTCTCTTATTTCCTGTGTCTCTTAAATTTCACTATCAAAAAAAGTTGTTGTTAATATTTCTTTTTTTCAAGAGACAATTTATATTTCCTATATCTCTCTCCAGCATTACTATCAAATAAAAGGTATACAATTAATTTTCTCAATACATAAATAAAATAAACACAAGAGGAGGGCGATTCAGGTTAACTGACTGAAGGAACTTCCCTCAGAGTTGTTCTATGAAAACATTACATAAAAAATATGCAACGTCGTTTTACTGTTGATTGTGATTTTAAGTGGCAAGTAGAAGCCTATGGAAACACAGGCTTGGTAGTTAATCCTACATTGTATGCCTCGCACGCTTGTGACCATTAATCTCCACAAAAGTGTGCATGTATGCCTTCCCATTTATGGAGGCTTCTTAAAGTTATTACTGTAGTTCTTTGTCGCCGATAAACGAAGATATGCTATAAAGAGAGAGAGACTGTTACTCACCACTTTGGCGCTTGGAGTCCATGTCGTTTAATGTTTTAAAATCGGGTCGGGGTGCCTATTTCCGGTGATAATCCCTGAGTTGATTCATTGAAAAGTTATGGTTGTAACATGCGAGGCGTGTTATCCGCAGACACAGCGGAGCTCCGTCAGCCTCTGCCCGGCTCGGTGAGTCACTCTGCCCGCTACAGTTTGTAGCTTCAGTCGGAGCCGCCGGGTCATCGTCCAGAGCTCCTCCGGGTCCTAGTGCCAGTTTCATGATCCGTGGGTTTACCGCCCATTTTAAAGCCATGACTCCAAGGAGACTAATACAGAAGTCACTTATGACTAGAGGAGGTTCAATTTAACGTATTCTGTTCATTAGTGTTTGCAGAATACATTTGAGTCACCTTAATAGGCTTTTTCTATGGGCCTATTTTCCCTACACTACATTCAAGGTCACCTATTATGCAAAATCCACTTGTTCATGTATTTTATACATAAACATGTGTCCCCCTCTGTGTAAAGAGATTATGAAAGTTTCAGGAAAAAAGATTCACTCACTTTTTGTCTTCTTGATCCATTTATATAAAAACCTGTCTGAAAATTAGCTGATCAGATTTGTGGCCACTTTATGTCATAACGATGTTTTGGCTTGTGTAACCATTAGCCAATAAAGCTAACCACCTTATCACCTGAAACTCCTCCTAAAGTACCATTGTGTTATTTTTAACAAAATATCTCTCAGAGGGGCGTAGGGAGTGGCACCTTATTTTCATCAAAAGTAAAAGACAGAGAATCAGCCCTTTTGAAACAGGGCTGAAACAGAGCTGGTTTGTGAGATGCTACAATGGGTGATCCGTTTGGTATTTGGAGCCAAACACTTCAGAGACATGTTTTGTATATATCTGAGACGGTGAGACCTATAATATATTGATGAAAAACAGTATAATAGGGGACCTTTAACTATTTGACAATTGCCGTTGCTTACAGACATGTAATATGTTTCATTTTTACATATGTACCTACCTTATATAAACGTACACCATGACCTTCAACAAGAGTAAAACAGCACTTTCACATTGATGCTTGAGTAATAATAAATGTAATGTCATGATATAAAAAATAAATGCATTATATCAGAGTAGTTGCACCTAATTCTTCCAAGAAACAGCTGGCCCAATGACATCAAAAGAAAAAAAACTACAAGTCTGAAATAAACACACTATCCAAATCATCATCAAGTATCCAGGGGTCTTGAAAAATGAAAATGAGGCAGTTGTGATGCTAAAAATCATTTATTCAGTTGCAGTGACAGACCCAGGTTTTGCCAATTATAATTGTCAGTGCCAAACAGTGTGCTTTAACGTAGGGTTGAAGACCTGTTTGCACAAACGCACACACAAACACACAGACACACATAACAGCATTATCTCCTATTTTACATTCAATCATAATCTATCCAACACATTCTGTTTTTATTAAATCTATTTCAGCTCAGTTTCTCTCCTCCCACCTATTTATCCCCAACATAAATCCTTTCCTTTTGGGACACCTGTCAACTGTTAAATACACTTTCTTTGTCACTGCTATTTTTCTCTTTGTATTTCTTCTCTTTATATTCCTTGTGCCTCTACTCTACTATTTCCGCAGTTTCTCCGTTCTTCATCTCTCCTTTTTCCTTCCTCCACTCGAGCATTGTTTTTCTCTCTTAAATAGGGGATCTGTATAATCCTCCATGAAAACCTCCATTAGTCATTTGCTTTAATTGTGCACACACACACACACACACACACACACACACACACACACACACACACACACACACACACACACACACACACACACACACACACACACACACACACACACACACACACACACACACACACACACACACACACACACACACACACACACACTTCAGTCTGGTTTAAATGTAATCCAGCAGCTGAAATTCTGAGCCGCCCCACGAGTGCTGCACGTACAGTATGAATTGGAAAAAGCTGACATAGTTAAATAAAATAAGCTAAACATAGATGTCTACTTTTTAAGTGTATAATACTAAACCTGATTTCAATGACACAGTTAATTCACACTAAACCTTAGCACCACTTCAGTGTACTGTACCGTCTGTCACTGATATGGCTTCAAGAATCAGTGTTTAGGTTAAAGTATCAGTGCTTTAGGTTAAACACTGATATGGCTTCAAGAAATTCTGACATCAAATTAACAAACATAGGCCGGTATTAAATCTCTCTTAATCTAAATCTAATGTGAACAAAACTATTGTCATTGATTTATGAGTGCCTGACAATAGTGTCTGAGTGGAGAAAACTGGATCCTTTTTCTCTCCAACAGTATGCCAGTTTGTCTTCCAAGCAGCATATCGGCTTCCTAAACGTTCTCCCTAATTTTCATCATGGAGGTACATTTGGTGCAGTATAGTAGGAAGTAGTCAGTTTACAGTCCAACTGGTCCCCATGATACTGCCACTGTTAACACACTGACATCTGCTGGTAGAAAAATGGAAAGGCAGACATTTCCTCCATTAAGTTTCTGTCTTATGCAGATCCAGTGCAGCCCATATGCTGACTCTCAAAGGTTTTATCCTTTCCTTCGAGTTTTCCTTCCCCTCCTTTCAGTTTTTCCTTCCCTTTTGGCCAGTTGGTTGCCTTGTGTATTGCTTAAGAAGAACAAACAAGATCAGGAGGCCAACGGTTCTAATTTTGCCTCCTCAAGGGAGGACAGACTTTTATTTCATCCTGTTTCTGTTCCACTGTCTGGGGTCAGCAGGCAGAGACTATTTCCCAGAGCACACAGAGTTGGCAATGGTCCTGTATTAGGGTTAAACAGTTCTAATGGATTCATTTTCTCAGAAGAGTCGGACCTGTTTCTTCAGTTCGTTTTTCTTCCACTGAACAAGAAGATCAAAGGCAGACATGGCCATCCCAAAGACTCTGAAGAACTCCTCCGGGGAGAGGTGACGCTGGGAGGAGACGTTTAGAGAGGGAGAGGAAATGATCAGTGTTTGAAAGGTTATTATTATTATTCTTTAAGTTACAGACTACTGGATAACCTGTAAAGTAACTATCTCTATCACTTCATATAACTGTCAAACTTTAATGAGAGACGTTCTTCAAAATAACTTTAATATTGGAACAGACCAACAGAATGAATGTTGTTTTCCACATAGGCCTATAAGGTTTTAACTGAAAATAATATAATGTATATAAGTAACTGTCATTTAGTTACACATTTATTCTCAACAACTGTAAACTAAATGTATTTAAGTTACATTTGACTAGTTACTTCTGTCTGTTTCAGAAGTTTGACAATAAACATTGAAGACATGAGTATAAAGATATGTCAGTCTGTCTGTGTTGTTGTCCATCTATATAAGACATTTAGCAAAGTATATTTTGTTAAAGCGTCGTGTAGAGGTTTACCTCCAGTCTGGCTCGGTCCACGTCACTCGGGAGACGCTGCTGCCCTCTGACTGACACTATTAGGGCTTCGTATGGGTAGATCTAACACACACACAAACAAAAGGAAATTATTTCTAAAAAGTGCACGTCAACACTTCTGAGGGGTTGTTTCAATGACATTTACATCTGCCATTCCTACAAGCTTCCTGCACCAACAGTCGGCACAGTTCCTTTGACAGAAACTGTAAATGTAACTGCATTCAGATGCTCCTTCCAAGGACTTTCACTTATAAGGTCATTCGTAATTGTTTACAGATGAAGTGTATTGACAACATCATTCACATGAGACTCTCTTGATCTTTGTCACCATCTAGTGGCAAACAGCAGCATCAACAACAATGACAGGCTAAAATGTATTAGAAAAATGTATGAAGTCTCTTTGTTTCGTTTCGGGTAATTATTCATGCAGATATAAGTATATAACCACTGAGTAACAGATTAAGAAACATCAATGTTTCTGCTGAAATGTGCTTGTTTTTCTTCTTCCATATAGCTTTACATAGTTTTAAGTCTGTGGACTCTTTAAATTAAACTTGTTTTTAGAGTTGTTGTACTCATTACACTTAATTGCACACATTGGTCAGTGCAACTAAGCATTTGTTGCAGTCTTTTTTCACTATCATTAAATGCAGTAATAAAAAAGATAATAGAATATTCTTCCTTAATAGTGAGAAATATAAATACTCTTAATATGTTAACTTTGCTGTTAATAAAATGAGGCAGTCAGTTTTAGTTGGTGTTACTGAGTGACAATCAGACGGCTGTTTACTGTAAACTTTAAAAAGGCAACACATCATCCTTATCTGTTACTTTTGATCCGGAACGTTATTTGTAGTTCAGTAATGGTTGGCTTTCTTACCTTGTATTCTACAAGAAAAGGAGGAGAGAAATTACAATATCAGTCACATAAACTGCATTTGTTGACTCTTGTTTTTAAAAAATCATTCTATACAGTCTTAATAACATGCACTGGGAGAAAACTAGAAGGACTGAGGATAAGGAGATTTCAAGTGTACAATAGGCTTACCTCTGATCTGCCAATTAACTGCATTACTGCTGTCATATTGGTAATAATCTGCACCCGCACTGCCAGGCTGCTAGAACACAACAAGAGCAGTTTAGCAAACATGCAGCAAGAAGATGATAAAGGGAAAGGATCTAGCAAAGCAGAAAGAAATCATAAAATATTACATCTATAGAAAGTTCCATCAGTGGGAATTCTGTATAATAATGTATCAATTAGAAATATAATACCAATATGAAGTCAGTTACTGATTTATTTTGCCGCAGGAAGTAAACTCATAGAAATCACAGTTAACATGATAGGTTGCTTACCCTCAGTCCATTTTTGCCGTAGCTTGGCAACGAGGATGATTTGGCAATGCATGAGTCTGGAAGAACAAATATAAACACATAACCATAAACAAACACATAAATTATGCAAAAATAATACTAACACACTCAATTGATGAATGGGAGTGCAGTACCTCTATAAACAGGCAGTTTCCAGAGGGTTAGAATTGTTAAGGGGCCCTGTGATGCTAATTTTTAGGTTTCTTATTTATATTTTGTGCTCTACTGTGACATGTTTTTCTCATACTGCCTGTACTGCAGCACCTCTTTTCACCCTCTGTCTGAAACCAGACCACACCCTGCTCTGATTGGTTGAGCTGGCCGGCTCTGCTGTGATTTCTCAAGCAAATTACGTACAATGTGTTGGAGCGCTAGCCAATAGAAGCGCCAGTGTTATGTAGTGATGTCACAGTGATGTACATGTGATGTGGTTGTTAAATGTACTCCCTTAATAGAAATAAATAAAATAGAATGAGATATTATTCTCTTCACCATTTTATATTTGACCAATAAAACCCTACCAAAACTCTGATTTCATGAATCTTTTTTAAATATATATTTCCTTTTGTTGTCACGGGCCTGCAGCATAGTAGCATCTCTCCTGTAACCGTTGGTAACCAGCAGCATCCTAGCGTCCTGTATTTGTGTTGTGCACTAATGCAGTGAGGCAGCAGATGGCAGTGGAGTCACACTAATCCGCTCAAGTCATTTTTCCGTTTCTCTCACTTCTACTTTCACATCTTTGTTTCACTATTCCCTCTTCCTTCATATTTCCTCTTCCCCTTCCTCCCTCCTTCTCTTCTTCCTGTCCTTCTCTCTTGTTCACTGCAGTTGTTCAATGGAATTAAATTACACAGCGATGTCAAAGAGCCGAGACAAAACACCCTGATGCAGTAAAAACTATTGGTGTGTAGAGCTGTGTGAGTGTGTGACGCTGAAATTATAATGGGTTTTCCTTCAACACTCTTTCAACAAAAAAATGAGATACAGTTGGATAGATAAGTCATGCCGTGTCTCAGAAATATGTTTGTGCCCTGATGCCAAACAGTGTGAAAACAAATTGCCTTAGCAAGTTTATATTTATTTAGTCTAGTCTCAGCTGCCAATTGAATCATTGCTCTTAAGGTTTTGGAGCAATTTGTTCAATCATTTTATCAGTTATTCTATTCTAATGGCACGATCCATGGCAAAAGAATTGTCTAGATGGTGTCCAAAAACATATTTGAAGCCAAGTTAATTGAGTTAGGATTAGGGATGTGCGGATTTGATACTCTTTATTGGTGTTGGTCTGATCTCATTCAATATTTATATCTTTCAACAACGGTCATTAAGGCAAAGGCTTCATAGAGCATTAAGAAAAGTAATCTACACTTTGTATTCTAAATAATTAGATTGAAACTTTTGTACAAAGTTGCACTTTCAATTTCATTTTTTAATATTGCAATGCTGCTGACCAATCGACATGCTGCTAACAGTTTGGGTTCTAAAAAGTATAGATAAAATGCATTGTATGTATTTCTTTCTTCAAAGAAGTAGACAATCTCTTTCACAGTATAAGGTATAGTTCTATAAAGATTATGGCAAAGAGATCACAGTAACAAAAACAGTCCAAACGTTTAATAAACAAAGTGATTTCATAGGACTCGTCTATCTTTACAATCAAAAGTGTCCTGTGTCACTGTGGCTTGACAAACAGATGGCCGAGGGGTTCAGGTCGGTGATCCTGGATCAGTGCCTGCTGCTGAAGAAAAGCTGCTAAACGTGGACCTAAGCTACAGAGGCATTCATCTTCCCACCTGTAACCCTAAAGAAAGTGTGTGTGTGTGTGTGTGTGTGTGTGTGTGTGTGTGTGTGTGTGTGTGTGTGTGTGTGTGTGTGTGTGTGTGTGTGTGTGTGTGTGTGTGTGTGTGTGTGTGTGTGTGTGAGAGAGAGAGAGAGAGTTGATAACAATCGGATTTAAAGTTGAGCTGCAGAACAGATAGGACGGCGAGGATCAGAGGGAAGATAGCCCACGGTGGAGCCGTCGCCTTGAGATGACCTCAGAGATACGATATCAGAAACACACTAATGAACCACTCTCACACTCACCGCTGTCTAAACTGTTGACGGACTTGGGAGCTGAGAATGTAGAAACAGTGAGGAAAGAAAAGAAGAAGAAAAGGAAGAAGACACACTTCATTATTTCATGACAGATACACCTCGGAAATACAACTTCTCTTGCATCATAAGTCAAAACTTTTTTTAGTCCTTATGAATTATCAAAGAAGCATTAGCAGATATAACCTGTACCTGAATACTGGTTTAGAAGCTCTTAGCGAAGTCAAGTTATTACATGAGATTATAAAGCTGTCATAGTAACAGGACAAACAGAAATGAGAGGGCAGCTTTTAGTGGAAGGGAAATAAAAAAGGCCAGCTGTTGTGGGACATCTATAAAACATCAGCTGTGTGAAGATATGCCCCTGACAGCATTAACATGCCGACAAATCACTATCGCGACCTACACATCATATTAAATATGAAGCAGCATGGGCACATTCATGAAGCATTGAGCCGCACGTTAAAAATGCATATGTATACAGCAACCAACCACCAAACTTTGAGAAAAAATTATCTTAAAATGCAGCAGATTATAATTACAAACATAGATGCCGGAATTTGGAAAATAGAAATATAACTTTTATCTTTTTATTATATTAATTGATAAGTGAAAAAACTAATGATATGATAAAGCTCTGAGGGGTTGAACTGAGGCACAGTAAATTCACAATGCTGACATACTGATGTGGAGCAGGTGCAATGTTCACCATCTTGGATTAGCGTGCTAGCATGCTAACAATAGCCATTCAGCACTAAATATAAAACACAGCTGAGGCCAAAGGGCAATGTAATTAATTTGACAGCTATTTTGTTGTAAACCAAAGTGTTGAACACACTGAAATGTTGACCAGTCAATAGATGGACGTCATTATAATTCATCCTGAGGGGAACATGAACGTGTGTATCAAGTGTCATGGCAATTATTGAGATTTTTCAATTATAACGACAGAGGTGAACCTAATGAAAGCACTAGAGGAAAAGTCACGGGATCCAAAAGGTAATTAGGGTTCATCCGATTAGGGACCATAAATGCCTGATTAAAAGTGTTCCAATCCGTTTCGTAGATGTTAAGCTATTATCAAATGTAAGTAAAAACTTTAAACTCCCATTGATTCAAAAGGAAAACAATTAGGAGGTCACAAAAGTGATTTGAATTTATCCTCAGGGGACCATGAACGTTTTTTATTGCAATTCATCTAATGGTATCAGTTATTCCTCTCTGTACTGAAGTGGTGGCCCAACTGACTGACATTGCTATCACCATCCCTAGAATGGAGCAATTTCATTCCTTCCATTATTTAGTAGGAGTTTGTGTTGCTTCTATCCAACTGTGGGCATCCCATTTAGAAATGAACCTCCTCTGAAGAATAGATGAGCAAACACCTCTCAGTATTTTTCTCATCAGTGTAATAACAGCAGACACTATAAACCCAGAGTGATTACACAGCAGTGAACACACACACATTATCCACACCTCTCTGTCTGACCTCACTGTGCACAGAGCTCATTTCCCTCTCTCCACCGCTCTCTGACCCTGATTTAGCTCGGAGCTTCATGTCATACATCTTCTTTGAACGGCTCTAAATTGCTCTAGCTTCTCACTCCGACACTCTTTTGAATAAAATTCACTCTCAATCTCGTTCGCTCTTTCCTTCTCTCTCCTGTTAACACTCTTTTTTATTCCCATTTGACCTCCACAGTCTCTCCTTTTTTGTCTCTGGGAACAATAAGAGAGCTAATATAGATTACTGCTCGAGGAAAATGGTAAAAACATGCATTTCCTAATCTCAAACTTTTACAAACGCAGGCTGATCATCACCATTAACCTGACTGAACCAGATAAAATATTTAGCTGTGAACCTAAACACAGTCTCGAACCTCAAACAACCTTAAAGGATCATATCTGCATTTACTTTATTAACTACTTTTAAAAGCAGAGTTTACAATGATGCTTTAAATCAGTTTTGGCTTGTTTGGAAAACATTCATGGTTCCCAGTGGATACACCTGGTTACTTTAATGACTGCCTACTTTTTCCTGTAGCTCCAGGAATATGGTTTTGATAACGTTTTGTATGCAAGGTATTGAAGTGTTGGATCGATGGCCTTGATATTTGGTAAACACATATCCAGATTAATTGTAATAACTTTGTCGATCCCTCTGCTTTTTATTTAGTGCCATCAACAGGGAAACTTTAGGTTTTGCAAATACTTAAATTAATATCTAAACACTCTGAAAAACGTAATGGCATACCCAATAGCCTCAACAGTATTTTGTTATTGGCGCTAATTAGCCACAAATAGACGTCAAGTATACAACATGTAGGTAAATATACAAAAGCAGCACTTTCTCTCAGATTTAAAGAAGTGACCACACACACACACACACACACACACACACACACACACACACACACACACACACACACACACACACACACACACACACACACACACACACACACACACGCACACACACACACGTAATTCATCAGTGTGTTCGGGCCATTCTGTTGCTCATGCTTTGGTTTCTCTCACTGTGATTGGCTGCACTGGCTGCAGGCAGTGAGAGTGGCAGGAGTTCACCTTATTACAGTCAGCCCAGGTGTTCCTCACCCACCACCACCTCCTTCCAAAGCATTTCCATGTGCCAGGTAGGCCGTCATCTACAAAGCTGACCCCTGACCTGTTGACTAACCTGAAGTTACAAATATCAGATTGCCACCCTCAAATAGAGTTTAGACTCGATCTAACCATTAAAGGGGCCCTATTATGCACATTTCAGGTTCATATTTGTATTTCATGTCCTCTACTGTGACATTTTTACTTGCTTTAATTTCAAAAAGGTATTTATTTTTCTCATACTGCCTGTCTTTTCACCCTCAGTCTGAAACCAGAGCCCAGTCTGCTTTGATTGGTTAGCTAGCCGGCTCTGTTCTGATTGGTCAAAGGCTTAGAGATGTCCCGCCCCTAAGCCTATCACGTATAATGTGTTGGAGCGCTAGCCAAAAGTAGCGCGACACAGTGATGTCAATATGTTAAGGAAGTAAACAAAGGACTACTATCACTGTGTTTCAGGCAGGGGGGGAGCTGATGGGAAATACACACTAACCCTAAGAAGAGGCAAACTCACATGAAGACACACATAGCCTACACGTGTGCACCTTAAACTCACATTATGACACACACACACACACACATTCCTGAGTGACCACAGACTTACAGCCGTTGAGAGAGCTGTAGGCCAGGTTGTTCAGCGCCTCCTTGCTGCTACAGCGGGAACTGCGCCTGCTGCTCCATTGGTCATTGTCGTGACAACCGGACCGCGCTTTCATCTCCTCCTTCAGGATCATCCTGCCAATTCCCTGCAGGGAGGAAAAAGGAGGAATAGAAGGATGGGTTAAATAAAGGGGCCAGAAAAGAAGGTGGGAAAATGGACTGATAGATGGAGCAATAAGAGGTGGTTAAGTGGGATGGATGCAGGGGTCAATATATGGTGATGGAATAGAGCAGGGAAAAGGCGATGGTTGTTGTTTGGATGGATATAGGGAAGGAGAAAGAAGGAGGGAGGAGCAGCATCATGTCCACTGGTGAGGTTGGAAAGTGGCATTTAATTACCTAGCTCATTAAATATTAACAGTTTAAATATAAAAGGGAGAAGCATTAGAACCTCATCTTCTTTTACCTTGTTTATATTTTGATTCCATCCATCCTCTTCTCCTCCGGCAGAAAACCTCCTCACCTTGGAGACTGGAGAGAAATGGAGGAAATTAAAGTCAGAGAGAGATGGGAGGTAAAAGAGTAAATAGAGAATTCTAAGCATGTCTGTTAGCAGAAATGTGTTTTTATTTAGAACAGGAGGGAGCCTAACCTTTTGGAGAGCCGGTATATGGGTAGTAGTTGGAGTCCGGGTGATAAATGCTGCTGCAGTTGGAGGTGGAAAGGCGACTGGAATTCAGGAGGTTCTCATTGGTCTTACTCTTAAAGACTGTCGGAGAGGCAGATATGTCTGAGGGAGAAGGAATAAACAAGAAATCCTCAACACAATTTGTGAGATCACAAAACCTTTTTCACCCAAGCATTGCTAGGCTAATTTCAATCAATCAATCAATCAATCAATCAATCAATCAATCAATCAATCAATCAATCAATCAACGTTTATTTATATAGCCCAATATCACAAATGTTACATTTGTCTCAGTAGACTTTACAGTTTGTACAGAATATGAATACCCTCTGTCCTTGGACCCTCGCATCGGACAAGAAAGAACTTCCAAAGAAACCCCTCAGTTAATGGGGAAAAATTGAAGTTTTAATTGACATGCCTCAAATAACAACACAGCATTGAGAAAGGAAAAGTCAACCATGATGCAAGGAAGTTAACAAATGTTCTGCTTTACCAGGAATGGATTATTTGTGTTGCTTGTTGTTGGTCTAACTGAGGTGTTGTGTCTTTTCTTTGTGTGTGCATGTAGGAGAAACAAGACGGAAAAAGTAGTGCATTTACTCACAGAGAAGGGGGGGCACAGCAGGGGGGAGGAAGGGAGGAGGAGAAGGCATCAAAAGCAAGGGAACAGAGAAGGAGGTCAGAGATGATGAGATGGGATATGATGCAAAACTTCCAGTAAGCAAGCAAAGTTGTCAAGGCTGATGTTTTCCTTGTGAGGATGAAAGGATGCAATATCTTCAAGGAAATTGTTGCTTTTGTTAAGACGGGGGAAAGAGCGTGAGGGTGACATATAAGAAAGGTCGTATTTCTACTGATGCTGTGAATACATGGATGTGTCCTTTAATCTTTGGACCATCAGATCTTACACTGGACATAGAAAAAATAGCAATATGTCTCCTGTTTGTGTGTTTTTTTATTCAGAAAAGGATTATGAGGTGATCTTTCCTTGTTTAAATGGGACTTTCATGCAGGATATATGCAGACAAGGTTTTGGCAGAGGTTTTGGCAGAGGGAAAACAGCAACACCCTGAACCTGGTGATATCTATACACCTAAAATATTATAAGAAGCATTAAAAGGCACTTAAAGAAAACCATAAAACGTTCAGTTGTAATCATTTGATGGCTACATCTGCTATTAGGACGCTTGCTTTTATATTTGAGCTGCAGCCAGGTTTGACTTTGACATACATTATGGCACTGAGAATATATCGTATAAACCTGATTATGGCACTTTGCCTTAATATGAAAACTGCTCTATAAATTATTTGTGCTGTAAACCAAAATTCATCCACAGAGCCCAGATCACAGATTGCCTGCTCAGACGGAAGAGAGAGGCTTGTCAGCATTTTGTTTCTGGGGCGCTGTAAGTCTGTCCGACCTGCCATCTGAGCGCTGATGGATCACCCACACACTCTAAATATTTGCCATTGCTTCTCTTAGTTTTACATCACCTTTTGAATCGCAGATTAAAACTGTAGTTTCATCTCTGATGTGGCCACGTCTACCCACCATCAGAGCTATGCAGGTCAGCTGACAGTAACATTATTATCCCACACATATTTATTTAGACTCCAATAAATAATGATGGTTGTGATGTGATGGGAATACTACAATCCGCCTTGATCTATTCTGTAACTAATGCAGTATTCTTGTTTTTACACATTTAAAAATCTCTTCTAACCAGTTTTGTATTTTTAAGGTAACATAAGGCCAGGGATTGTAATGCTAAGCAGGTGGCGCACTGTGAATGTAATGTAGGAGAAACACTTATGACATTGAATATGGATCGGTCACATCTTGGCAGATAGCCACTCCCCTTAATAAGATAATTATAGGGGCTGCTATTAAGATTTGTGTTTAAGTTTAATTTATGTTTAAGCAACTTGATTTTGAGGTGTCTTTACTTACAGTTACATTCACTTTAATAAAAAGGTGACTCGTGAATCCGATCAGTGTCAGGTGGACAGTTTCATTCGTACTTATTGTTTCAGTTCGCCAATTAGACAGTAATAAGAATATTTTCACAAAGAAGGAATGTCTCTAACTGTACTAAGTAAAACCTTTTGTAGCAAAAACAATGAATATATCAAAATGGAATTATCTAAGGATATTTTATTTATTTTTAGTTTTCTTCCAACTTCAAATCAAAATATTGGGCAAGACTTAGAGCCTATAAACCCTACAACCCAGGGCTAGACAATGACTAGTCAACCAAAGAGCATTATTTGAGAAAACATTTGAAATATAGGAGTAAACTATGGCTGCAGCCTGTGCAGGATTGCAAAAATAAATGCTTTAGCTTCCTCTGCCTGTTTTTATTTTGAGAGTTGTTGTCGAGGAGAATGGCATGTCATCAGAAGCACCAGATGTAGGACAGATCTTGTATCTAATGGATTCATTAAGTGAGACAAACAGAAGCATGTGTCATAGTGAGAATGCTTTTACAACCAACCGGCTGACAGGTAGACAGCCTAACACAAGCTATAAAGGAGACGACATTGTGAGGAATACACCAACCTTTTCTTTTATAGATGGGGGGTTTCCTGTAGATGTTGCTGTCCTCAGAATCTAAGGACAGAAACAACGAGAGGATGAGCGTGGAAAGAAAGGAAGAGTAGGGGAGGAGGAGAAGAGGAGAGGAGTCTGTATTTCCTTACTCACACTGTCCCACCAATTAAATTGTGTACATTTAACCGTACATCTGACAGTGCGGGTAATAAACTGTCATGTCGGAGATACGGCCGTGCATCCAGACAACCTGATTGACGTGCAGAGAGGCTGATTAATACAGATTCAGGCTTATTACTGGATAGAGCAGCAGATGGCACAGGAATAAAGAAGAGGGAGGAGAGCAGTTGAAGGGTGGATAAAGGGCCGGATGGAAAAGATAAAGTGGAGGAGAGAGAAAGAATCAGAAATGACAGGAGCATGTACAGTATTACCTTGTAGCTCATATTTGGGGGATAATTGTGTTTTAATGGTGGTTTTGAGTGCTGGATAAGCACTACTACACATTACTGCAATATAAGAACAACTAAAATAAGAAAACATTATAAATACTTCCAAATTCCGCACAGTGTACCACTAAATCTTCCAAAGTTAGAGGTTTGACTCCCAGTGGGCCATCAGAGCTACATTTGTATGCCCTCGTGATACCGCAAAGCACTTTGGATAAAAGCATCCACCAAATACATTTCGCTCCATGTTGAAAAGCATGAAGGGAGTGCTGTCGCAGGGGCTGGCAAGGAATAACAGCCTTGGAAAAACCGGAGAGGGGACATTCAGTGAGAAATGGAAAAGGAAGGAGGGAATGATGGAGGGAAACCAAATGCACAGCTTGCAGTGAAAAGCAAAGGCCTTTCAAAGTGAAGGGAACAAAGACAGATTGAAACGTCAGGGGCATTAAGTTGATAAAATGGACGGTTGATGGGAGTGTTTAAATAAAATGATCTGGTATTAGTTGTTAGATTACAGCGCTCATATGTTATACAAGAGCTGCAGATCAGTAAGATAAATCAGATAAAGGATCCCTGCTGGAGTAAAATGAAATAACTACTGTATAGTTTTATGGAGCGATGAATCATTTTCTCCTCTGCTAAGATGGTGTTGGAAACTCGCTCGGGATCCAAAATTGTATAAGATTAGTTTTCTTTATCAATGGGTCTATGAAATATAAACTAAAAAGTGAAACATTCCAGCCACAGTTCCAAACAGCCCAAAGTAGAGTCTTGATGTTGTTTTTGTTTCACTCATTCAAAACCCAAAGATATTGCCAATCATTTAAAATGGAAAAAAATGGAAAATCCTATTAAAATAAATGTATATAAATACATTTTCTGTCAACAACTGACTTCAGTACTTGTAATTATGCTGATAGTTATTTCAAATGACAACAGGTCACTAAGGAATGAGGTTGTGTGGGTTAGGAGAGCTATACTCTGGTTCTGGGGTCAGGGTTCTAGCTAAATATAAATACTTGTGATGATTAAAGAGGCCCTATTATGCTTATTGGGGTTTTGTCTTTCCTGTAGTGTGTTATATAGATTTTCATGCATGTAAATTGTCTGAAAAAAGTGTATTTCCATCAGCTCCCCCCCTGCCTGAAACACCGTGATAGTATAGTACCGTGATCCTTTGTTTACTTCCTTAACATAATGACATCACTGTGTCGCGCTACTTTTGGCTAGCGCTCCAACACATTATACGTGATAGTCTTAGGGGCGGGACATCTCTAAGCCTATCAGAGCAGACTGGGCTCTGGTTTCAGACTGAGGGTGAAAAGAGGTGCTGCAGCACAGGCAGTATGAGAAAAATAAAGAGCTTTTTGAAATTAAAGCAAGTAAAAATGTCACAGTAGAGGACATGAAATACAAATATGATATAGGGCCCCTTTAATGGTTAGATCGATTCTAAACTCTATTTGAGGGTGGGTGAGGTTACAATCTGATATTGGTAACTTCAGGTTAGTGGTCAGCTTTGTAGATGACGGCCTACCTGGCACATGGAAATGCTTTGGGGCTTGGAAGGAGGTGGTGGTGGGTGAGGAACACCTGGGCTGACTGTAATAAGGTGAACTCCTGCCACTCTCACTGCCTGCAGCCAGTGCAGCCAATCACAGTGAGAGAAACCAAAGCATGAGCAACAGAATGGCCCTGAACACACTGATGAATGACATATGTGTGTGTGTGTGTGTGTGTGTGTGTGTGTGTGTGTGTGTGTGTGTGTGTGTGTGTGTGTGTGTGTGTGTGTGTGTGTGTGTGTGTGTGTGCGTGTGTGTGTGTGTGTGTCAGGGGACATGACACCCACTCAAAGAGCTCGAACATCTTTCCAGTTAGGGACTTCCTGTTTTCTGTGTACATATGTGTGTGTCTGTGTGTGTGTGGTGCATGTATATGCTTGAGTGGGCACATTACCGGGGAGATAGTAATGCAGGGGGGAGCCTCCGTGGCGGCTGTGTGAGGGAGAGTCAGTGAAGGCGGAGCTGGAACGCCTCGTCCTCAGCTCAACACCGTCCAAGAGATCCTGGAGAGAGAGAGGCTGCCTTAGAGTAATGTGTTCGGTCTACTAAATGCAGCAAATCATACTACACAAGATGGCAGAGTACACCGTTTTTAAGGCTTTTATAGGCCTTTTAACTGCAAAGCAACCACAATTTGAATGAGGTAGTTTGTCATTTCGGGAAATATGATTACTTACGTTTTGTGGCAGAATATGGATTGGATTGATACCCGCTAAATAGAAGGCTTGAGCAGCTTCATTAACACTAAAACTTAGAATGATCTGCACCAAAACAGCTATGTTTGAATACAACAAGTTGTAGTTTAGCAAGGAGCTTATTCATTTATCTGTCAGTTTTTAGATGTTTTGCCTACCTTCTCTATAGCCTAGGCAGCCATCATTAGAACCATTATTTCTAAACGTGACAACTGAGCTTTCTCTTTCCAAAATGTATAATTTGTTTACTTTCCTCTGCAGAACTCACTGAAATAATTGATATGTGAGGTGACATGAGGTGCCATTGGGCTAAACAGTGAGGTGGCCCCCGTTTGACCAAACGCATGCAACCAATAGAACAGAAACAATCAGAGATGAATTTGTTGTGGACCTGGTGCCCATCCCTGCTGCGGTTTGTTGATATTTCACAAACAACTCTATCATTCGTAAATCTTGATTGTTGATAGATGGAGTACTTACATGAGAGTAGGCTGATAAGGAGCCCAATGACTGGATGAGAAAAACAAAAAAAATGTATATTGTCTTCAAATGAATTATTTTTTTTTTAAATGATGCGGTAACTTCATGATTGATTGTGAGCATGTGTGTGTACCTGTACGCAGCTGTATCTCTCCAAAGTGTCATCAGAGTTGTGTGTGTGTGCATGGTCTGCCTGATAAGGGATGATGTCAGGCCTCTGGTTGTCATAGATGGCTTTGACCCGGGGCAGAGCCGCCAGCTGCTTATAGTCCAACACTTCACCGTCGCCTTTGGACTGCAAGAGAGAGAGAGAGAGAGGACATGGAAAAGAAGTAGAACATTGGGCGTAAATAGACATTTAGGAAAATAAATGCACACATACACAGACATGAAGTAAAAGAAACAGAAGGGTACAGAGAGGTGTGAACAAACAGTTAAAACTTATAAAGAGTAGACCAAAAATAAACTAGTGAGTATGTGACATTAAAATACCTAAAGCCTCGATAAATGACAATTTACTAACAACTTAAGACCAATCTACTATAAATTAGGTCATACAAAATGAAAAAAAAGGTCTTAAATTTACTTTAGACACATAATGATGGCTCTACGTTGCTGCAGACAGAATAAAGCCAGGGGAGAGAGCAGGGAGTCTGCATGGAGACAGATAGTGTTGGCAGAGAGAGCTGTCAGCGACTCTTTGTGCTTCTGTCGCTGTTGGTTGGATTTTGATTGACGGCAGTGACAGCTGAGGGCGTAACTATAGCATTGATGGCGTAACCATGGCGACGACGGTACTCACACAGATGAGCCGGTGAGGGGAGCCGAGGAGAGGAGAGGAACCCGGAGAAGAAATGGACACCGTCTCCGAGGTGCGCCTCAGCTGGTGGGACAGATGGGAGAGGGAAGTTAGCTCAAATATACAAAAGACATGTTATTACATACTCAAGGTAAAATATTAATGATGATAGTAACAATACTTTCTCTTGCTCCGTTAAAAGTGATCATCTTTATCATGGATGATTACAAATTGAGAAAGTTATGTTTACTTGTGTTCTTACAATGTGGAACCATACTTTTACAATACGGTATATTAAGACTAAATTAACAACTGGTGTAATATAAAAATATATATAATAATAATAAACCTAAAAAAAAGCCACTAACACTAGATTTTCAGGACAATATCATTAAAGTTTGTCCATTATAAAAACACCCATGTTAACTACATACCACAAGTGTTTAGCTTCTCATAAAACAAACTAGTTTGGAAACAAAGAATAATAAATGTCTGACCCAGGGAGCCAAAGAGAAACACAAAGAGAGGACAGAAACAGAAATAGAGAGACATGGCAGGGACTTGTGGGTATTTTGAGTATCGCCCACCCTCAGTTTCCTCTCCAGTCGAGCGGCTTCTTTACACATGGGGTGCCAAACCTCTGAACCTGCACACAAACACAAAAACAGACTACCTGGTTTACTGTGTGTGGGCAGCAGCCATACTGTTTTATGCGATCCTATAAAGAGTAGATCAGCCTTTCTCAAGTGCATGGACATAAATCATAAATCACACACACACACACACACACACACACACACACACACACACACACACACACACACACACACACACACACACACACACACACACACACACACACACACACACACACACACACACACACACACACACACACACACACACACACACACACACACACACACACACAGTGCATAGTGGAGGCAGTTTGTCTGGTCTGAGGACAAAGGATGTATGCCTTCATGTCTCCCCACACAAACAAACAAAGAGGAAGAGAGAGAGAGAGAGAGAGGAACAGATTTTAAACATGCTAGCAGTGTGGTTCAACTAAGCGATAGCAATGTCAATGATGAACTACCACTTTGTCCTCAAATATCTCGACTATCAGAGGGATTGTCATAAAATGATGTTTATTTTTACTTCTATATACCGATTCCAAAATTCAGTGCTTCTCAAAGTGTGGTCCGCGGACCACTGGTGGTCCGTGATCGCCCCCTAGTGGTCCGTGAGTATATTGGTAACATTTCACATTTGAAATTAATTAATCAATTTAAGTTTTCCGCACTATCGCGGGAATATCTCCGCAATGGAGCAAGGTTACGTTTCACTTTCGATTGCATGATATAGCCCAGCACAACACCTTCATCACACATGTTGCCACTTGTTTGTACCATTTTCAGGCGATTTGTAATCTGTTCTAGAAAAACGATGTGTTTTTTGATATTTGTGGAGTTAGGTGGTCCGCGAGTGTTTATTTATTGGTTAAGTGGTCCTTGGTATGAAAAAGTTTGAGAAACACTGCAATAGATGAACGTGCGTATCACCTGATACAGATTACAGATTCAAATTAAGTGCATTTAAACAAACCAAAAAACATAATACTGTTATTAATAGCTGTATACTGTGTAGAGTAACCATGTAAGGCTGTAATGTGATTGCTATCATTGTTGTACTGACTAGCTCAGGTTAAACACTTCATAAACATCAACAAATATATATATGTACAGACTGTTATGGAAATAATTATCATAGACGCCAATTTGTAACATACAGGACAAACCTTGATGTCTGTTTACCTTCTTTAAGGACACAGGCTGCTTAGCCAATAATATTATTGTTCCCATTCTGTGACCGGTCAATACTGGGTCACAGATGGTCTGTGTTGTGGGTACACTGGGACACTTCCTTCTCTGTATTTGTGGACTCCAAGGTGAAATCTTCGAGGTCATAAGTGTCCGACGCAAGTAGCTCAGTGTTCCCACACTGTTTAGGCTATCTTCTCAAATATGTTGTTTACTCTCTGCGAAACCAGTTAGATGGGCTGGCAAGAGAGAGGCTCTCCAGAATTGACGTGGCAACTCTACCGTGAAGTCAGAACCTCTGACTCTTGGACTTGTGATGTGAATCCTCCGGCCGTAACTCCAAATAAACCATCATGTGTTTGACATCAAAGCTACTGCTCCTACCGTGTCTCCTTCCTGAGTCGGTGACTCCCACTGCATAGCTACACAGAAGTTTCCTCTACAAATTGGCGTTGTCGGCAGGATGCCAACAGATCTTCAGATTCTGGTAAGTGTGATTTTCAAATCTACTTTGGACATTGCCTTATCAGAATCTGTGATTGACGGTATCCTAAAATTACCTGTGAAACTGATCGGCTGCGTTTCCTTTTGGTTAATGAACATTTGGGGATGATAAACCCAGGAGATCAGTGTCTGGGGACTCAGTCCTGGCTTATTTCCTCTGTGTATGCTGCACGGGACGGAAGTGCCATACAGGCATACACAGCTCATGTTTAGAGATACCTTAAAGAAAGGGCATCAGTGAAGTGGAGCTTCTGTGTGAATTGAAAGTAATATAAAAGATTTGTATTGGACAAATCGCCGGATTTTGAGGGTCTTAGCGGCCAAACATAGCAGTTGAAAATAAGCAGCCAGAGATATTTACTGCTATCACCTCTCTGTAAAAACACGGCTCCAGCTGCAGCCTTGTGTGTGTGTGTAAAACCTCCCTGCGTGTGTGTGGGGCTGGAGCAGTGCAGGCTGAGAGGGAGAAAGTCACAGCTTATTGCCTATAGGTTTTAACTCACGGCACCGCCGTCCTTCAAACGGGACGGTCTAAAAGCACTCGTTGTTTAGGACCGCTTTTCTCATGGTTAGACGGGCCAGCGCGAAGTGCGTGCATCACCCGATGCGCTACGGCTCTCTGGAGCAGGTAGCGGTCAGGAGTGCATACATACAATTATAGGCTAATTGATCAGAGGTGTGTAGTGGCAAGCAAGCATAGGCAAACTGTGTTTCACCTTGAGGTGAACTCGATGGCGAGTAGATATAGGCTGGTCGTACGGACTACAGTCAACTGAGCTGTTGTTTGGAGAGAAAGGGCAGGGAAAAAGTCTGTGGGCTCCGATCGGGGGGGCACAGCGCCACTAGAAACAGATAGCCTAGTGGTTGTCGCAAGAGGATAAGCTTAGTTATCGCTCTTGGACGGCTTTCAAGCACCGATAAATCACTTGTATACAAGGGTGAGGCGTGAGCAGACGCCCACTGGAGAGAATTCCCCACCCCCTCTAAGATCTCTCTTAAAACCGGACTAAATTGAGCTGAAGAGCTTTGCTGTCGCGCTGGTGTTTATTACGAGTTCATGTTTTGTTTGTCTGATTGTTTGTATGGGGGGTCTATATTGGTTTGTCCCGCCGTCTTGTGTATGTTTTGTAACAACTAATAATGAATCAGTCCATAGACAGGGTAAAATGAACTAAACTTTAGTTATCTCACCAAAAGTAAATGACTTGAGAAAAATAAAAAGAGTGTTTTTATGTCCTGCCTCTGAGTGTGCAGGGGAACATGTAAACAAGAAGCCCACTGTTCAGGGTGAGCGCTAGGTGTAAGAAGAAAAGAAGATTATATTGCTTTAATAATCCATTCTTAAATGGTATTGCTGGTATGTTAAGATATCTTTGTGACCTTGTATAAACCCTATGCCCGTCCTGCGCCCCGAGACCCTCAGAGACCTGCCTGAGGAGATCAGGGTTGCAAAATCTGTTTTTGTAGGTCAATGTTGTATTATTTGTTTCATTTATTCTTAATCTATGTATTGTATAGTAATAATGAATAAAAACGTAATGTATTGAACACATTCCGAAACAAAGCAGATAAGCAGAACTAGACTCAGACATAATACTAATTGTTGTTGAAACCTTTTGCGCTGTTGCAGCAAAATGGAAACTGTGTTAATTATTCTGTTCCAACTGGCCACTGGAATCAGGTAATTAATATAAGTTGAAGTTCAATTACAGTTTTAAAAATTGTTTAACATTCTTTATTAAACTGCTTCAAATTATTTCTAGTATCAACCAATTGGTCTCTATAGACATTACTAAAATTAAAATAGTTGTTAAACTACTGACAAGTTTTCTGAAACCGAGCTTATGAACAACAGAGTAAAGGTTGCTGGTTAAGCCAGGATCAATATATTTGTTGAAGTTTTTATTGTGTGCATAATAAATGTGTTAAATTAATTGAGCAATTCTTTAAAAGTATAATGTTGCAATTTCTTTAAAATAAGTAATTACAGTTACAAAATAGGTGTTGTTTTCCAAGGACCTCTCTTTCACAGGCCCACACTTTAAATCATAACACTTCCAAGTCCTACAGAGATCAGTATCACTTTGTGTTGCAAGCCAAATCCAGGGGTTCTACTCGAGCCCAATTTTAAATACCATAAAGAAAAGTATTGAACCCAGCTCGAGCTAAATGTGAAATGTATTTAATTAATGTGCAAGTGTTTTGATTTATTTAAAATGTTCCAGTCTAGCTTCCTTCGAGTTTAGTATAAACAACAGATTGGTTCTCATAACATTCTCACTGCTGTGCTGTCCCAAATGTTTTAAACCTTGGGCAGACAAGCACACACACACACACACACTTTGGATGAGTAATCACTTCATCCAAATTGTAAATTGTTGCCTTCTTTAAAGTTATTAGTAATTCAAGATTCATTATTAAATTAAATTAGGTACATAACAATAAACAAAATAACTTTGACTTGATCATTTTGTTCACAACATTATACCTTGTCCTCTAATCTCTAATAGAATAAGATAAGTGTGCATGTTTGGGTGTGGAACACTCCTGTAATGTACCTAATCTTGTTATCCTTTTCATTACAGAGCTGGGAAAATGGTGTATTGATTAGATTCTGATCCGTGCAAAGTCCAATTTTGACTGACTTTAGTTCTAATGTTAATTTGATTTCAACCCATAAGGAATTATTTAGATTAACTCAACATTTCACATGATGGATTAGTGCTCCACATTTTTCCCACTAATTTGTTGTGCAATTAGGCCAATGGTAAAGAGAGACATTGATGGCCTTGTGTCCCTTTTGTTGGTACGTGGTTCCATTCTGTCTATGGCCTTGGACGGCTTCACTAAGAATCACCCAGTTCTGACACAGTTCTGAGTGCAGTCACAGAGATGCTATGGCTGCTCTACATGAAATGACATTAATGGTCTGGTCTGAGAATGGACACCATTCCCTGCTTCCAGAGACAATGCCGCTCCTCAAACTGAACAATACTGTCTCACGTGGGCCACTCCCCCCACCAAGCCATGAACTGAAAGCTTGACATCTGCTTTGAACACCTGGAAGCCTCCCGGTCACACCAGCACCAACCCTTGGGTCAGTCAGATGGGACTAACGGCTTAACTTAGGGCATTTGGTTCAGAAATATGACTCTCGTTACCGCAGAGTGGGTTGTTTTTTTAAGGCTATTCATACTGCTATGCAGAGGATGCCTGTAGGTTGGCAAGCTGTTAAAAGCCCCTACTATTTTTAAAATAGGCCTAATGTCAGGAGCCTCTGAATGTCTAGTTCTACATGTATTCACATTATATGGACAAT